GAATTTTACAGGCTGCTGACATTGGGGCTGGATGGTGCTCTGTCTGCACGAGGGAGCCAGAATCTCATGCACATGCATGAGGCCTAAGAATACACATCACTTGTGCTATTCCAAAGTTCAGCTTTTAAGGGGAAGTATAGCCGAGGCTCAACCTACCCTGTAAAATAATTGCTAACGGAATTCATGGAAACAGTTGCTTACGAGTGAGGGTCCATGCAATCGCCAAGGGTTGGATACGACTGAATGGATGGATAGATAGATAGATAGCCGAGGCTATTTTGGCTGTACTTCTGTGGATCACAGGAGTGCCGTTTTGACCTGTTTTCAGCTGACAGCAGGCTAAAGTCTGTTGTCTGCTGACGTCGCTCAGCCACTCCAGGCTCTGAAAAGACCCCAACTTTACAGTTGACATCCACCCAGATACTTGGACCGACAGCTGGCTCAGCCTCTCAGAGAGCTGCTGAGAACCTGAGCCATCTGCTCACACTGCATCCAAGGCCCAGTGCTCCAGTGTGGGTGCCATGCCAGGCTCCTGCAGACCCTTCCTCCAGTTCCCTGATCCCTACTGAGGTAGAGGCTTTTAGTTATTGACCTGTAGGAAGTGTCCATACAGTAGACTACAAGTGTGCAATAGAGCCCTGCATGGCCATGCAAATTTTAAAAGTGACAGTAACTGCAGAGAAGAACAACTCCTGCTCACTGGCTGGTCAAGGTGGGGAGAGGGGATGCAGCATTGTGGTGGTGGGGAGGTTGTTTGGCTACATGTTACACCCTAAATACAAGTATAACATGTTGCAAAATGTTATGTTTGCCTTTTTATGTTTGGGATATCTGAGCATAACAGCATGGAGTCACTGTTTTTTAGTCAGACCTTGATCATAAAATCCGGCCAGGCATGGATCAACAATTGGCCAGTTCAGCAGAAACCAGCCAAATTTCAATCCCTATATGGACAGGCTGGTTGCACAGAAGTCTACAGATTGACTTCTGTACAACCAGCCTGTCGGCTATAGGCAGCAACGCTGATCAGTGTGTTCTGACAGTAGGGAAGTCTCCCCACTATAGGAATACAAAGACTTACCAGAGAGGATTGTCCCATCTACATTGAGTGTGTGGATGGGGGAATCAAATCAGAAAAAAAACAAACAAATTGCCTGTGGGCTGCCAAAGAGTAGATTTGTCCATCTGGGCTGTTTTAACATAGATGGAAGAATTGGTTAGAAAAAAAGAACAAAATATATCTATGCAGCACCCCCCTAGATAGCTAGGGGGAGCTAGAGTCCAATTGTTAGAGGCTGAGCAGCAGCCTGTGGAAATAGAGAGAGGTCAAATTCAGATTAGAGCTGAGAGGCTCTGCAGACCAGCTTTCTGGAACTTCCTCCTGCTCTGGAATTTTGGAGAAGATTCTAGAAGCATTGGAAGGGAGTGAGGAGTGGCTGGTCTGCACTCATGGGATCCTGGCCAATCACCAACAGGAGGCTTGGCATGGGGCCAGGACAGTCCTTAAGCGTGAGAGAGCCTGTTCAGTAGCAGGAGCCTGCGAGGGGGCCCAGATGGGAAGAGGCTCACCTACAGGCAGAGGAGCTGGAAAGGAGGAAAGCTCAGGACCTCATCAGCCCCCAGATCGAGGACCATCTTTGCAGCAGGGAAGGAGTGGCCCAGCAGAAGGCCTGAGAGCAGCCACTGACCCATCAGCTCATAGACAGAGGACTGAGTGAGTAGACCTGGACCCCATGGGCCAGAAAGGGGAAGGAGCACTCTGGTGGGAAACTGGATTAGCTGCTAGCCGGGACTGTCTTACCCACTGTCTTACCCATAAAGTGGCAGGGGAACCAGCCCAGGGGTTCACCCAGAACAGCTGGATAGAGGAGTATCTAGGATCTGGGGTGGTACTACAGGAGATGCAGGCTAGCTCTCCAGAAGATAATTGTTTGCTGTAAAGACATGTATATAGTTCCAGGAAGTTTGTTCTCTCTTGCCATTCCTTTAGGCATTCCATACACCCTTTATTCCATCCAAGTTTAAATTCCCCTAATAAAATCCAAAAAAACTAAATCAAGGACTGGTTACTATCTCCTGGATTCAAGTCTGTGTGGAGAATGTGTCATGCCTGGCTGTGTCGGACTATAGGAGGACCCAAACTTCAGCAGCCCCTAAGGTGGTAGTGCTACATCTACAGTATATGTGTGTGGCCTGCTGCCCTTGAATCTTGATATACTTTATGTATTTGTTTCAGATCTGTGCAGTAATCCAGTGTGAAACTTTGCCTCTGTGTAGGAGCTTCCTGTAATAGTCCGCTCACTGCAGCTCTCTCCATATTTAGGTCTTTTATCTGTTTTTCAGGCAGTCTGTAGTGCGTGGAAGGTCGTAGTGCTAGGTCCCAATCACAGCTCCTGGCTGTGTACAGAACAGTGATGTACCTGCGAAATTCCAAAGTTTGCAAAGGCATTTGTTGCACACAGAATGGATCTACATATACTGATGTTAAATCTACATAGTCTTGCTATCTGGTAATATATTTCAGTAAAACTTTTTCCTGCCTGGAGTTCAGATTTAAGAAATGGATAGCAGGACATATCCAGCCTGATCTTGGAAGAAATAATATGATCATAGTTTTTTTTTTTTTTTTCTATATACTAAATGCTGCAACAGGGGTTAAATGCGTAGCGAGTCAGACTATGGCTCCAGCAAGCAAGTAGCTGGGTCTCCAGCAGTCCAATCTACCCCTGTACTCTGCTCCAATCCAGTGGCTCTATGCACTGCGTTATCACTGTAATTAATACAAAGACTTCATTTGGGCTTTCTACAAAAAATAATAAATGCACATTTTTTGCAGGTAAAAAAAAGTGCCTTTATTATTTTTTGTAGTAGGAGCCTGAAAGGCATTGCACCAGAGATCAGCAGATTGCTGATGCCATGCAGGTCTCTTCCAGACTGTCAGTGTATGTGGTTGCCCGTACATCCCGTCATCAAAGAGGGTACTTAAGAGAGACACTTTTCTTACCTCTGATCAGTTGGGCTCTAAAAACCATGCACGCAGTTAGGTCAGAATTTGAGTTTGCCATCTCTGCAGTCATTGTGAGAACTTGTTACAACTGATGTTAAGAAAACCATGATAGTGGGACATCTGCCTATCCTCAAATGGCATTGCAGATATGCAGTGTAATCTGCTTCCAAATTGAGCCGACAGATGGGAGAATGTAGCCTATCTTTTGGAGAAAAGCTTGATTCTGTTCTCTTCAAAGTAATTGAAAATGATCAACTGAAAAGAAAGTCACAAAAGATTTTTCAGCATGTTGGAAAATCTTTCTTGATAGAAGAATTAATTTCAGTTAAGTATGTATTGCTACATAATTGAATATGCCTAGATAGTTGCAACAAATGTTTAAAGGGACATTTTTTTGGTTTATATATGACTAGCCTTTTGTCACTTGAGAGATTATATACCAACAGACATTTAATAAGAAAGCGCTATTCATTTTTTTAATCTCGGGGCTTCCCTGAAATTGGATTTAAAGGTGACACTCTCACAATCCCCGGAACAGTTGTGCTACAGTTGGCTGTCAATTTTGAGCATGCAGTGGTGTTCCCTAATTTAGATTTCTTAATATATTTTTTCAATAGTTTTTTAATTATTCATTTTTTAAAAGTATGACATACGCAGTGTATTGCAGGGTACAACACATGTACTGGTAAAATACAAAACATTGGGCATACATAAAGTACAGGTGCTCAACTTACATCATGGCTAGAAGTATGAAATAGATTTGATTACAGGATGGGGTATGTCAATCGGTGATCCAATGCTTGTACTGAATTCAGGTGTATGACCAACAGACAAAAGTTATGCTTGCTGGGAGCAAAGACCAGCATAGAGTATAGGAATGAGACTGAGAAACAGTAGGAATGTTGGGATGGAAAAGAGGGATTTGTCAGGGTGAACTTGCACAGTTTGGTATAAAGAATGTAGGTACAGTAATGTATGGTTTAATTGTTTGGTATGTAGTGTTCCATCTGTAGGTGTTTATTCAAATTGGATAGGAGATTTGTGCAGGATAGATGTGAATTTCTTGTTGATTCACCTTTTGTTTCACTTTGGAGATATAATTATTATGATTATTATTATTATCATCATCATCCTAATCATCACCCATCATCATCCTATGTGTCCAGGAGTAAGCATTTTAAGAGGGGTAGAGTCTTCAATAGATTTAGTTACAATGCTTTTTTATTTGTAGATAAAGAAAAGTTTTGGCCGGTGGTGCATTATGGTTGGCTCATAAGGGGAACTCTACAACTCCATTCAGTGTAATAAGATTGTATATTCAGAGCAGTCCCTCCCTCAACCACCATTCAAATGTGTGGGGTTATTTAAAACCAGGCGAGTTACAGTGAACAATGGAAGATATAGCAAATTGAGTTTTACAGAATATTTATTTTATCCTATGTTTTTAAAAGAGATATATGGGTTGGAAAAAAAAAATTTATATTCACCTCCTGATCGCTCAGTTCTCCCCTCTTGTCTGAGCAGAGAGCCATGACTGTCAGACTCTCTGCTCTGTCCCTCCAGTGCTCACTGCATAACTGGGTTGTTGAGAGCAGAGAGTCTGAAATCTATTGTTTTGGGGGGGTAAATCTCATATTCATTTAGGGTCATCCATAAAGTTGTGTTGGGATAAAGGTTGTATTAGGCAATTGGCACTATTTGGGCTGCATAATAATACCTGGAGATCCATAGGACTGATAAATGTCCTTGTTGAAAAGGTATTTTTTTTTATTAACACTCATTCTTGTTGTACCCCAATTTGAATTGTAGACAGATGCAATGGAGGCAGGGCCAGCACTAGACTATTTTGCGCCCAGGGCAAGACCAGCTACTTGTACCCCCCCCCCTTCCTAAAAATAAATAAATAAAACATTTTAAACATTTTAAAAACAGTAGAAAATATTAAATCAACAAAACCTGAAACTGCTAAAATTCTTTTGATTTGCAAAAATAAGTGCCATAAGATTCTACCGGCACCAATATTAAAGACAAAATCAGTGTCACGGACAGGCTGTATCTGTGGCTGGCAGTGGCAGGGTGACAGATGCAGTGAGAGGAGGATGATGGATCCACACTCTGACAGATCCCAGGCTGGAATTCCCCAGGCAATGGGGGGAGATAAAATGCTGTGACAGCAGGCAACCCAGCTCACAGACACAGAGAGAACACCTGAACTTAGTGATCCCACAGAGTGACAGATCTGACACAACACACCACCACCAACACTGACACAGATCAGCAGGCTCTGGGATCATGATGATGTCATCACTCACTGAGACATTGCACATTTGATGGATGGCTGGCCAGCCGGGTCACACTCCCACTAACACGAGACATCAGAGTCAGGCATTACATTCCTCACGCAGCTCTGCCTCTGCTGTTGAATGGGAAGAGAAGTGTTGGAACTCCACAGAGATCAGCTGCCAGCCAGTTCACAATAAGGGACTGAGTCTGAGAGGAAGACTGTTACACTGGCCTCCCCTCTGCCGCCCCTTCCCTCAGCTGAAGGATCATTCATGACATGGCGTTGTCACAAACAGAAAGAGTGCAAGCCTGTCCTGTGCCAAGGCACCCCTAGGTGGCAGTGCGCCCTAGGTGGCTGCCTAGTTTGCCTAGTGGAAACACCAGCCCTGAATGGAGGCATGTTGTTAAGTAAATGGTAACTCCTACAGGGGTAAAGACGTTTGAGGTGTAATAGCTGCTGTTCCCCTCAAGCAAGAAATTTGGTAGTGTTTCCTGAAAGGTTTGTCTTAAGTTAGCTGGTTTATTAGTGGCAAACATGGATTCATTCGAGGGTGTTACATAAATTTCCTGGTATTCCTAGTGAGAAGAATCCCAATGGGAAAAGATCATTGTAGAAGAGCAGTATCCAGTGACAGATTAATATTTAGGTCCTGAGATTAAACAAAAAAAAAGTCTATACATTTTAATATCCTGCTTGGAGCAAGGTCGCACAACAGTTTGTCCTGGGTGTGAAGAAGTCTCCGTTTTGTGTGCCCCCTGCCATTCTTTATTCATCTGCTCCAACCTCAAATGTGGACGGGGCCTCAATATCCTTATATACAGTATAGCGCAGAAAAACTGGTCCTCCATTGTACCCAATGACTTGGGTGAAGAGTAGCTTTTATTGACCTGATGTCAATTCTGGAACTGGAAGGGCAGAGTCCTACAGGACCATGGAATATGGTAAGGTAATGCTTATTAAGTCTGGAGGGGGGATGTAAAGGAAAGTGATTCTTCTGTGGTCAGGAGAGGGACGTTTAACTGCCCCTAAACTCTGATAAAAGCCTATGCGTGTATGGACATAGGCTTTTACTGAGTTGAGTTCTGGGGCCTTGGCAAAAAAAAATCCAAAAAACTCCTGAACTCATGTTTAGGAGCATCAGTGTGCATGGGGCCTTAGGGCTCATGTACACGGGTGTTTGAAAAATGTTTCTGAATGCTGGAAACTGACTGCTAGAAAATGTAGCTTAAAAACGTCAGTTTAGCCGCATTTACCTACTGAGCTTATGCTCGTTTAACCACAAATATGCGCGTTTTGCATTTTTAGAAGCGTTTTTAACAGATAACTTCAGGAGACCCTCCCATATGCCCGGAATGCACTGAAATGTAAATTAACTATTTCAGACATTTTGTGAGAAATAGAGAGAGCACTACTTTCTGATGGGTGTTGCAACTGTAGCAAAAGTGGCTGGTGAAACATGCTTGGCACTGTGGGAGGAGCTACATAGTGCTGTAAGGCCTCCGGATGCATTCTGGAGTGCACACAACACTCCTTGTGCTTTTTTGCTGTGTTTTCATGTGTTCTGTGCAGAAATAATGCAGCATGTTCTACCATTTTTTTTTTTTTTTCCTGCACGCGAAACCTGGAACTGACTGCACTGGTGTACTAGGTTCATTTGAATACACGCTTAGCATGCATTTTTGATGAAGAAAAAGACACTGGACAGCATCTGGATATGGACCAGCCCAAAAACGCATCTAAACGCAAACGGGCATAAACGCGTTTACAAGCATTTGGCATTTGAAACACCGGTAAACTCTACTCCTGAATGCGATTTTTTTGTGCTTTCAAAAAAAATGCCTGTAACCTGAACGGCCTGCAAACTACTGTAAATGACTATGTGTACGTGTACACATAGGAAAATATAAAGGAGAGTTCAGGGGCTGCTGAAAAGAACGCACAACTGCTCCTAAACTTCAGTTTAGCAGCTGTAGTTTACATGAGCCCTTGGACATTATTATATTTACTGCAATGTTTTCATTCAAATAAAATACACACAAAGTATTTTATTTCCATGCTGGAAACTCAAGATGATGATTTTCCTCTACTGAAAAATATGCTGTCAAGGTAAAATAATTTTTTCGGAGCATCCTCTCCCTGCAACAATGACCTCAGGAGATGTGTTAAAGGACACCATATGTTAACAAAAGCCTTGATTAACAAAGTGATTATGGTCATGTACCAAAACCTACCTATATCCCTAATCATGATGGATTTATTTTACGCATTAAGCCCACTTACACTCCTATGGACTTCCTATTACAGTATTTCTGTATACTGAATACATTTATTCTTCAATTTGCTTCCTCTGTTAACCTCTCGTGTGAAGAAAATCCATGTGAACACACTATTTTTCCAAATATTTTACTTGCCTCTGATACTCATTGACAGCAATCAAATTCTCTTTTTGACAAATGAAATCAGAAACGTTAGTCTGATTATTGGCCAAGAATAGCATACACAGTTTATCGCCAGCATACTTTGACAAATGAGGCCCCTGACTTGCTACTCCCAGATATTTTTTCCATCTAGTAATTTCTTGCTGTAGAAAGGAATATATTTTCTTTTCTCTTTTCCAAATAGGAACATTGGGTGAGTGCTCTTGGTTATATAGAAAACTCATTTTATAAACCTCCTTTTATAAATCAGTTCTATTGTTTAATATATTATATTCACTTTTAAAAACATGCCTTTATTGGCAAGATAAGACAATAAAATGTGGACCATGGAAACCAAAGTGACTAATATTTTGTGAAAGAAGCACTACTGAGCAACTTACTTATTTTGTGTTGCTGAAAAGTACAATGTTATAAGACGATATGTACCGTAATGATCCACGTGTAGACCTGCTGCTCTTTTCAGCAGTCCTGGTGGTTGCGTGGGCTTGTTAACACTAGAATGCAAACATTAACACATGCTGCATTGAGTGCCTTGATATGCATTTTAGATCTGTTGCTTTGCATTTTTAAAATACTAGTTCACTTACTATCTCCCATGGTCTATCTGCTGCTAAAGACAATACATTTTCTCATATTCTTGCATTTTGCCTGCATCAGAAAATGCTGCAAAATGTGCAACAAATCTTTTGGTGTAAATAGGCCTTCTCTGATGGCTATAATGATTCAATGTTCTTCTTTCTGCTCCACTACCTGCATTCTGATGAGGAAGAGTCCAATCTGGTCTTCTGATTTCTCTCTTCTGAAGTAAGAGAAGGACATGGTGACACCAATGTATCTGTGCTTGCCAGTTATAACATAGGAGACAAATATGATGTCTTTAAATATATTACTTAAATCTTTCACCATCAGGCCTTGTTCACACTTGGATGCAGAAGCGCACTGAATGCAATGGGGGAGATTTACTAAAATTGGTGCACACAGAATCTGGTCAATTTGTGCATAGTAACCAGTCCGCTTCTAGGTTTTATTGTCAAAGCTTAACTGAACAAGCTGAAATTAGAAGCCGATTGGTTACTATGCACAGCTACACCAGATTCTGTGTGCAGTAGTTTTAGTAAATCTGCCCCACTGTGTCTTTTAACCACTTGCCAAGCTCAGATAGCCGAATGTCGGCTTCACCAAGGCCAGCCAGTTATGGGAGGGCATCAAATTGACATCCTCCCAGAACGTGCCGTCCCACGTGCTCCCGGGGTGTGCACCTGGCGATCTCCCTGATCACTGTGTCCTATGGACACAGCTGATCACGTGCTGTGGTAGAAGGCCAATCACAGCGGCCTTTTAGCACATGATCAGCCGTGTCCAATGACACAGCAGATCACCGGTAAATGCAGTTGCCGGTTATCGACTGCACTTTCATCACGCTGTGACTACTGCTGATAACTGGTAATTGTCAGAGGACGGATTGGCACTGATCCTCAGGGCACTGAAGATCAGTGCCCAGTAGTGCCACCCACCAGTGCCACCCACCTTTGCCCATCAGTGCCGCCAATCAGTGCCCATCATTGTTGCATATCAGTGCCACCTATCAGTGCCCATCAGTGCAGCCTCATCAACGCACATCATTGAAGGAGAAAAACTAAATGTTTGTGAAATTTTATAATGGAAACAAAAAAAAAAAATAATTTTTCTCTAAATTTTTGCTCTTTTTTTTGTTTATAGTGCAAAAAATAAAACCACAATCAGCAAGTACATACCACTAAAAGAAAGCTCTATTTGTGTGAAATAAATTATAAAAATTTCATATGGGTGCAGTGTTGCATGACCACGCAATTGCCAGTCAAAGTGCAACAAAGCTGAAAATTGGCCTGGGCACGAAGGGGGTATAAGTGCCTGGTAGGCAAGTGGTTGGGTGGCACAATGGCTTAGTGGTTAGCATGTCTGCTGTGCAGTATATGGGTCATGGGTTCAATTCCCAACCATGGCGCCTCCTGCATGGAGTTTGCATGTTCTCCCTGTGCTTGCGTGGGTTTCCTCTGGGTACTCCGGTTTCCTCCCACACTCCAAAGACATGCTGATAGGTTAATTGGCTCCTGTCTAAATTGTCCTAGTTTCATCCCTGGCCATGCGGAATATCCTGCATGGTAGGGGTTGGGGAAAGACCTGGCAACCTACCCTGTAAAATAATTGCTAAGAGAATTCATGGATAAAGTTGCTTACGAGTGACAGTCCATGCAATCACCAAGGGTCGGATACGACTGAATGGATAGAGAGAGAGAGGCAAGTGGTTAAAGGCAATGGTCTTTCTGCAGCTGGACCACTTTCTTTTAGGAATATGCTGTAAAAAACATAGGTAGCAATGGTTTGAATGCTGCAGATAGTACTTGAACTGCCCTCCATCTGACAAATGTCAGCTGAGCCATTTTGGTTCAGTACTAATTTTAGGAACTGCCATTTGCACAGCACATGGCTGTGGTCAAAACTGTAAAACCAAGTGCCATGTCAGGACTGTAGTGTCCAAGAACTTTAAACAAATAACCTTAAATGCATTACCCTGTTTAGTACCGCCTGCTGTTCACCACATTGCATTTGCATTCTTTTAAAGAAC